TCATCCTTGAGGATGAGAAGTCTGATGCCAGACTGATTTAAGTACCTTTGTAGGAGACCCCAGTTTTTCTAGAAAACTTAGGATCTTCTCTTTTTACTTTGTGTTCTGAAATTTTGTGGAGATGTGTCTTGATTTTAATCATTTTTCATTCATTCTACATAGTATTTGAAAGGGTTTTTCAATATGAAAACTGCATCTATCTTCATCTCTGGGAAAATTTCTTCCATTATTTTTTTTCTCTTTCTGTTATTCTATTAATAAGAAAACTTCTTTGGTGAATCATTAATATTTTTTTTATCATATTTTCCATCTCTTGGCTTTTTTGGTCTTGTTTAAATTTATTTTGCAGGTTTTCTTTTAAAATTTTTATTTTGGTACCAATTTTTAAATGGTTAATATCTTTTTAAAAAACATTCTGTGATCTTATTCAAGATCATCAAGACAATAATAAGATGTCAAGAACATCTTATTATTGTCTTATTGATAAAGAATCTTTGAGTTATTTGATGATACTAATAAGAGATTTTGTAAGTACTCTCCGGACTTTTGTTCTCAGGACTAACTGTACTTTCTCAGAACTTATTTGGTTTTGCTTATTGGCTTTTTCTATCATACTGCTGGTTGTTCTCATGTCTTGTTATTATTGGTTGTGTATTCATAATTTTAAAGTAATTTTTTATTGTGTTTTTGGTGAAGGTTTACACAGTAGTTTTGGTTCCCACTCAACAATGTCTATACAAGTTGTTCAGTGGCATTGGTTACGTTGTTTACAATGCATGAACATTCTCATTATTTCCATTCTGGTTGTTCTGTTTCCACTAGTCTAGTTTCCCTAACCCCTTACATTCTAATCTTTGTTTAAAAGTAACTGATGACCATTTTTTTGTGTTTTCATAGTTAAGGATACAAGTCTAACTTGTCTTCTAGGTAGGCAGTGTTATGTTTCTCAGCTGTTCTGTTGGAAGATATGTTTCCCTGATAAGTTTTTCTTCTGACAACCAAACCAATTGGGAACTCTACATGCATAGGCTGTGCTGATCAGTAATATTAATTTAAAAATGGGATATGTCCAGTAAGATGCAAGCACTCTAAGATGCTATCACATCTTTATTCTAAGCACCAACATGCACACTGGAAGCTCTAATTCTCCCACAGTTCATTATTTTTGTTGGCTAAAAGCCAAAGTGGACTATTAAGGGTGACTTCTTTTTTTTCAGGGGGAAGGGCAAACTATGACAAAACATTTAGTGACTAGAAGTTGTTAAAATAAGAATACTTCTGAAAGTCATTGGAATGCCATGTCAAATCTCTTCATCTTATTGCCTGGTGTGCCACAATGAGTTCATGAGCTATAGAAGTTGAGATACCATGTTTCTCTTGAAATGAGACTATATAAACTCATTATCAAAGTTGAAGCAGAAATGGCAGCTAGGTTGTATCTTCATGCCAGCAATCACAGTACTCTGTGCTTTCCATGAAGCTTCTCTATGGCCAAATCCCTTCTTGAATAGAAATAGACTGGTAGATTACACAGCTCCTATGCTGATTTGTGCTAGTAAATAGTAAATAGTATCACATAGTAGTGTTACATTGCACCCTTTTTTAGGGATTAGTAGTATAATATCCAGCTTCATTTAATGTTGGCATTCAAGTAGCATCTGGTTTAATGTACCCATTTTAGTGCTCATGATAGAAAAGAACACATTCATTGTATATAGATGAGGCTTCCATCTACCATAATACTCTAAACTGTAGGCATAATTAAGAAATGGAAGAGACTCCTATGTAGACAAGGTTAATCTATCCCAGTGGACAGTAAAAGTAGTCAGCATGTGATTCTGTAATTCCTTGATGTCAGCTGTGGCAATAAAGGGCTGGATGTGGAATTGTAGATTGAATTTACTTTGATAAATATTGCTTTCTTTTTCATTTGAGAAGATGCTATGGGAACCATGACATTGTACCTTGCAACCATTCTGGAGTGAAGCGGATTAGAGATAACCATAAGTATTCCCCTTAACTTCAAAGCCATCTTCCCTTCAGCAAACACTGATATACAGGTGGATAGATGGGTAGACAGGCTGAACTAATATGTGTGTCTGTGAGCAGGGGGGGAGTGTGCTCATGACCATGTATAGGATTCTCAGACTATGTTTCTACAAATGTATTTGTATGTTCTATAATAATTCCCAGGTATTTGGCAGAGCTGACAAGGAACAAGGTGTAGTCACTTCTTGGCCACAACCAGCTACCCAGAGGGAGTGAATAGTTGGATCTGCGGGCTTGGGACCATAGTCTCAAGGGACATCAGCTCAATTGGCATAAGGTACTACACAAAAACATTGTTCCACATCCTACTTTGGCGAGTAGCAACTGGGATCTTAAAAGCTTGCAAGTGGCCATTTAGATGTAAGGAAGGGTCTCTCCTTGTCCACAGCAAAGAAGAATGAAGAAAATCAAAGACGCATGGACACATTTAGTCCAAGCAAGTGGTACTCCATGTGATCCTCAGCCTGTATGACTATGAGATGAGAAGAAATAGATGGTGCCTAGATACCACTGTCAACCACTCAGAGGGGAATCTATGTAGGAGATCCTGGATAGAGTGGGAGAACAATGTGGAACAAAACTCAAAATCACTTAAAAAGAAAAGAAAAGGACTAGGTTTGCTGGTCTAATAGAGCCTGGTGGAACCACTGAGACTATGGACCCTAGCTGCCCTTCAGGTCTGGAATTGAATCCACTCCTGTGGCTTCAAGCCAGACAGAAGACAGGCATATGAGCTGAGATACACTCTTTGGAGAGATCAATCATGGGAGAGTAGAAGGGTGGTGCATACACAGGGAGACAGCTCAGGGGTCAGGAGTGTATGGGAAGGAAGGACACAGGCAAGCAGTAACTATGGGGAGGAAGTGGGTGGCGAGCTGTTGCATTGTGGGAAACTGCAGTTAATGTCATGAGATAAAGTGAGCTGCCATAGGGAAATTGAATTTGCTCTATAAATTTTCACCCAAATAACAATAAAAAAGCCATCTTCCCTTCAAGATGGTTCAGGAAATTTCTTTTGTGTTCCAGCCTTAATAAATTAGGGGCTGTAGCAGTGGTGAGTGGTGCTGAGACGTGTAATAAATATGCACCATCAGGGAGAAATGGTGTATTGTTAAATAAGTATGAAAATATACTCTTTAAGAGGGAAAAGTGAGGTAGCCTCATTGGTCCTGCTAAGGTGAACTTGCAAGTACCCCATCCTAAGAATATTGGGTTTATATAGCACTGATTGTATGTAAGCTAGAGGCTTGAGAGTGGGTTGATAAAACAGGGGAAGTGAATGCAAAAGCTTAGAATATAGAATGGGTATAGGAGAAAAGGCAGGAACAGCATCAGTTGTATATTGTTGCAAAACTTGTAGTAAGGGAGTGTTATTCCATCTTAATTTTCTCCAGAAATTGACCCTGGTACCAAATGTTGTTACAGTGGGATGGGCTGGAACAATTGTAGTAGTCATTCTGACCCTGAGCATACTGTTTCTAGTGACAGTGTTGCTGATCAAATATCAACACATTTTGACATCTTCAGTGACATCTTCAGGTGGCTGGTGATCTATAAAAATGTGTTTTTGATCACTTGAAGAGTGCTGGCATATAGGCCAAATTACCACAACCTCATCAACTGAAGAATGTGAGATAAATCATAGACATGTATATGTTTTTTTCCTTAAGAATCAAATCTTAGAAAACCATTGCCACTGAAATTCTGGTTGAATGAAATGGGAAGCTTTTTCTGGGTATTTGTCTCTCATTTAACAACCAGTAAAATTCTACAAGAGGACATAAATATCTTGAAGAGGGAAGTTGATAGCATGCCTGAGATTTCCTCTCAAAATAGAATGGTCCTGGATTATTTCTTAGCTCTTTTGGGGAGTAGAGAGGCCTGGATGCAGAGTAATTAAAACCACATGCTGTGTACCATATTTTTTGCACATAGCACACCCATATAAATAATGCTCCCATCCATATAATGTGCATAGTGAGCACAGAAAACTAACTCACAACTAACAAAAGGGTTGCATGGTTTGGAAAAAAAACTGTATAGCATGCGTTATTTGCACAAAATATGATGTATGTTAGAGTACCTGAGTAGAAGTTAATGTCCACCACATAAAGCAGCATTATTTTCTCTCAACCTTTCCCTCACAGTGGAGGTAAGGTAAGTCTCAATCTATCATTGAAGGATGGGCAAAGCTTTTATAATGATTGATTTTCTTTTGTCCTTATAAATTTTAGATGGGGAATATGAAATTGCTATTGCCAAATTAAAGAAACAACAGCATTCTGTGTCTCATTAGAAGTTTGAAATTTGTTGGAAAAGAGGAACGGCTTCCCATTTTGCCCCTCCAAGTCTTACACAGACCTGACATTGTCTAGACCTAATGAAGTACAAGGAATGAAATGCAGATATAGCTAGGTCATATAAGATGCTTTTGTATTATGTGTTTATGTAATTGTGGCCTGGGAACCCAGATATTGAGCTTAGAAAATGAAACTTGATGGAATATTTTAATGGTAATGAAGGCTCTCAAATGCTAAAATTGATCAATCAACCCACCACCGCAAGTACAAACAGGAGAAAAGGTAGTATTTCTGGACCCTGCAGAGCTACTATTTTACTGAATAAGCTGCTCTGAGCACTAAATTTTGGGCAAACCTCTGCCAGGAACAAGGAAGGCCCTGATTCATGAAGAACATGTTGGTTTATCAGTAAAATAAAGTGGAAGTTACATTGTTCAAGCCCTAGTTATCATTCCCACAATCTCTGTGCCAGGCAGGCTTTGTGATCTGGACACATACTCTCTGTTATACTTTCTTAATCTCTTCCAAAATGAAGCACATGATTCCTTTTGGTCTGAAAAAGGTGTATTTCAAAAAATGTTTTATTTTATTAAAACAATAATTACAAATACTTCATTTGACTTCTCCATTCTTTTTCTCAGTCAACCCATCTCAGTATATACGGATGCAGCACTTGGCTTTTCCACCGTAACAAGTGCCTTCTAATCTGTTATTGCGTGGGCAACGAGAATAGTTACAGGTTCCTCCTTTGGTGGCACATTTGTAATGGTCAGACCTGTGGCCAACATCTGTAAAAAGGGGAAAACAAAAACAACATTTTAGGTCCATGGCTGTAGCCACATCAATTTTAAGGCATTTGGGTGAAGCAGGACAGACGACTCTTGCAGAGCAGTTCAGTGAATTTTCTCTTCCACAAAATCTGTGGAAATTGAGTACAGACTCAATTTGTCTTTGGGCCCAGTAATGAGAGAAGACATAGGAATATCTCACTCAAAGGTCTATATCAGCTGTGGCCAACCAAAAACCCAAAAATGTAAAGCAATGTTCTGAGTAGGGTTTTATCAACAAGAAAACCTAGGGTAGATAGGGCATTCGAAGTACTCAATAAATCATGTACCACATCTTAATGTCTCTCAAACTCACATCCTCTGCTTTAGAAATACCAAACCAGGTACCATTCTATGAGCACACTATAAACTCTTCTTATTCCTTTGCCTTTTGATTATACTGTTCTCTTTGTCTTGAATCTCTGCCTCTCCCCACCATCCCCATCACTAATTCTGCTGAAATTTACAATCCTTTAATATCCAGCTGATATTATTGCTGCTCTATAATACTTTCATAGCTTACTCCAGTTAGAATTTATTCTATCCACAAGTATCGCAGAATCTCATAATTAGAAGGTGGTTTAGACTAGCAGTAGTCTTCTACTGTATGCAGTAGATTCCAAAATCTGTGTATAGTATCCCTGATAAGTGGCCATGAAACCATTGTTTGAACACCTTCAATGATAGAACTTTACCACCCTGGGAAATCAAAACTCAAACTCATCGCCATTGAGTTGATTCGCATTCATAGCAACACTCATTGGGTTTCCAAGGCTGTAAATCTTTACAGAAGGAGACTGCCCCATCTTTCTTTTATGGAGCAGCTAGTGGGTTTGAACCACTAACCTTTTGGTTAGCAACCAAATGCCTTAAACACTTCACCACCACAGTTCACCCTGGGAGATATTACATTCTAATAACTTGGATCTCTGCTTGTTGAAAAGATGGTTTTTATACTGATTGAAACTATCTTTTCAGTAACTTCCATCCAGTTACTTTTTTTCTATATTTTGTAGTTAAGTCTAACTTTTTAGAAGACAATTTCATTTTTCATAATTATACTTTTTAGAAGTTCTTTTTCTCATTTCTTTCAGCATCTAGTTTTCAGACCCTTCAGAATCCTATTAATTCTCTTCTGGATTAGTTCAAGTTTCTCAAAAGACTTTCTAACATTTGAGTCCTGGTATTAAATACAAAGTACCTTAGTTCTGTGCCTACCTACCAAGAGCAAAAGAGGCTACATTTCTTTTGTTTTGTTCACAATAAAGTTGTTCTGTTTAATATAGTGGCAGCTAGCTACACATGACTGTTTATATTTCAGTTAATTACAGTAGCACTACCCACATATCAAGAGCTCAATAGTCATATGTCGTTAGTGGCTACTGCATCAGACAGTGCACATGTGGAACATTTTTCTCAACACAGAAAGTTCTACTGTATTATTGCTATGGAGATAGAAAGGAATTCAGAAACATCCTGGTTTCACCATCCCATTACTCAGGGAAACATCTTGGAGTAAAGTCACTCAATTGCTCACACACCACACACACACACACACACACCACACACAAAACAATCCCACTGCCGTTGAGTTGATTCTGATCTCCAGGAATTGGTCCCTTCTGAAAACATGACCAAAGTAGGGGAGACAAATTCTGGCCATTCTTACTTCTAAGGACTGCACTTTGTCCGAGACAGATCTGTTTGTTCTGGCAGTCCATGGTTTTTCAATATTCTTAGCTAACATAATAATTCAAAAGCAACAACTCTTTTTCGGTCTTCCTTATTCTTTGCTCAACTTTCACATGCATATGAGGCTTGTGACATGCATACCATGGTTTGGGTCAGGCACAGTTTAGTCTTCAAAGGGATACCTATGCTTCTTAAAACTTTATAGAGGTCTTTTGCAGAGATTTTTCCACTACAATATGATGTCTGATTTCCTG